CGTAGCAGAAGAAAACAAAATGTCAATTAGCGTTAAAAACGACGACGTTCAGATTAATCGGGAAGGAACAATGGTATCTGTTTCGACGATTCAACAATCAAACGAGACCACCAATAAAGTTAACAAAGAAGACGATACGAAACGACAATTAGGTGAGTCGATAATCGAGAATATAATTAATTTTGTAGTAGAAAGTGATAAACGAATTCTCGAATTCGATCTGTCCGTGTTATAAATAAGTTGGTTATTTCATCATTTTTTAATTTCATTTCGTTCTTCATGTCTGAATATCGTGTATAATAATAACAATAATAATAATAATTAATTTGTATCATTCGATTGATGATCGTGTTCTTTTTTTTTTTATTTTTATTTTTTATCACAGATAATTTTTATTACATTTTTATTGTAAAAATAAAATTACCGTTGCAAGCCTGATTGTTTCCTTACAATTGTCATTTGTTCTGGAAATATGATACATGAGACCAGACGTATCAAATCAAATCGCATAGTTACTTTATTGATTAATAATAATTACATAAGAATTAATTTTATACAAGTATAATAATTTTAATTTTATTTGCGTCAAGTCGTCACCATTAAATTACATATACTTTTCACATCATGTATATATGTGACAATATATATATCTCGAGAAAAATACGACAATATATTTATTGTTCAAAAAAAAAATATCATAATAATCGGTTTCAATTAAATCTAGTATGCCTGAACAATCGGAAGTCCATCATACAATCACGAATCGCTGACAAAATACCGAACATGAAGGAGCAAATGGAAACGAATCTAAAATTATTAAAATTCGTAGCCGATTCCAAGTTGACATTAACCCAAGTTAATGGTCAAAGGAAACTCGGCCCACCTCCAGGATGGACAGGACCTCCTCCTGGACCGAAATGCGAGATTTTCGTCGGCAGTATACCACGAGATTATTACGAACCCGAAATTGTTCGTATATTCAGTACTGTAGGAACGATTTATGAGTTACGCTTGATGATGGAATTTTCTGGTACAAATAGGGGTTACTGTTTTATCATGTACACCACCGAAGAGGAGGCAGCTCGTGCTGTTAAAGAATTAGATCAGCATGAAATTTATCCTGGAAAAAAGATCGGTGTCGTTGCGAGCACTAATAATTGTCGGCTATACATTAATCAGCTGCCTCGAATCATCGACTCTAAATCCATCATCAAGGTTCGTTAATGATTATTTTTTAATTTATTTTTTTTTCAATCTCTATTGTTTGTACATATATATATATATATATATATATATATATATATATTTATTTATTTCATC